ATGGTCAGACCAACTTATCTTTCCTCTCTGTGAAAAGAATGGAGTTTCAGGAAACATGCTGAGCATTTTGTTGTTGTTGTTTGCGTATGAAATAGTCTGGAAAAGACATAAGAGTAGGGAAAATGTTAGGAAATATTCAGTAGGAGTTTTCCTGAAAGATGACATCAGTGTTGGCCACAAATTAAGTACTGCTTTTAGGTGACATAATATCCTATTGGGGGGGCTGGGCTGTAGGTCAGTGGTAGAGTGCTGCCTCGCACATGTGAGGTGCTGGGTTGGATCCTCAGTACCACATAAAAATAAATGAATGAAATAAAGATATTGTGTCCATCTACAACTAAAAAAAAAATTAAAAATATCCTATTGATCCAGAACGTGGGGGAAATTATATGTCTCATTCGGAGACGAATTCTAGAGTAAAATCATCATAAAATCATCATAAATTTTACTCAAGACATTCAATGTTTTAAAAATATTTGTTTTAGTTGTAGGTGAACACAATACCATTATTTTTATATGTATGTGATGCTGAGGATAGAACTCAGTGGCTTCCACATGCTACAACCCAAGCCCCGACTTTCAGTTTTAAATAATGTCAACTATTGGAGTTTTTTTCTTTATGGGGCAACATTTCTATACTAAACATTTCTATACTAAAGTCATAATGATTTTCATTGACTTCACTTAAATAATAATGATTTAGTTAAAAATATCTCTGAAAGATAATATTGAGGAACTCTCTTACTGAAATAATATTTCTTATATCTAATGAATGGAGAAGTCAATGCCTTCCCTTTAGGCTCCATATAGGTGCTGATAAAAGTCAAAGTACTGGCATAAAATGAGACCATATTAAGAGTATTATGACTGGATATATGGTTCATGTGCCAAAAATAAAGGCAGAGACTTTATAAATCTATCGCAGACCTTCATTGGTATTTCTGAATTTCCCATAATCACATAACTAGTTTTTGATATTGTTTTGGTTTAAACAATAAGCTTTTTCTCCTTATTTTCAGTGCTAAGGATCACACACTGGACTCATGCCTGTTAAGTGGGCACCCCTCAACTGAGTTACGTTCCAAGCACTAATTAAAAACAAAAATTTTGTCAAAAGAATAGCATCATAAATGATGATCTTACTTACCAAACACAGAAAAATAAATGCTAAACAAATACATGATAATTGATAATTCACTGAATATATTTTATTCATCCATCCATTAACATGTATTTTTTATTTTAATCTTATATTTTATAAGATTAAATTTTAGTTGAACGAAATACCTTTGTTTATTTTATATTTTAGTTGAACAAAATACCTTTGTTTATTTTATTTCTTTTTATGTGGTGCTGAGGATTGAACCCAAGGCCTCACATGTGCTAGGTGAAGACTCTGCCGCTGAGCCACAACCCCAGTCCTAATATGCAATTAAAAAAAATAGATTATTTCTTTAATACATTTTATTTTTCTATTTATTTTTATGTAGTCTGAGGATTGAACCCAGGGCCATGCAAGGCTAGCCGTCTACCACTGAGCCACAACCCCAGCCCCCTAACATGCAATTTTTAATGTCTATCTTTTATCCTAACTTGGCACTGTACCACAGTTAAATATGTACTTCTTTGTTTATTTCTGTCTCCTCCAACTTTAAACCTTACTCCACAGCCCATGTACTTTAATTCATGCTTCAGTGTATTTAAATTTAAGATAACCTTGCCACTGAGATATAAAATATTTTAATTGCCTTTTGGCTAAACAGCATTTCCTTTTAGGCTATTTTATTATTTTATGTTTGCAGTCATTTTCAAAATGTACTTCTTACTTTTTAAATAAAGTAAACAAAATTATAAAACCTGTGTCTTAGAACCCTATATCTATGGGCTGGTTTCTTTTTCTACTGGTTTTACAATCATGTTTTATATCTTCCATGTCTTCATTCAGTATTTTGTTTGTGTGCATGTCTGTATGAGTGTGCATGTGAATGCAGAAGCTTGTAAGTGCTCAGTATAGGAATCATTGTACACACAGCTAGTTCATATGATTTTCCTTAAAATGGATGTATATTTAATTCTGCTATTGTGACTCAGAGTTCCAGGAATTGAAAATACACGACTGCAATTTCAAAGGATGTAATGATTACAAGCTGAATTACAGCTTCTGTAAGGGCCTATCAATTTCTGACTTTCCACTTTCTTTATCTTATAGCTACTTGGGTCTCAACCTAGTTGGGCAATATTTTTTTTTAAATGTTAGCTGTCAAAAGTAAAGTAGATCCTGTTTTTAAGTAACTCTCTCTGGAGTCAACATGTGTCCCTAAGTGAAAAGCAACTCCATAGAAGACTCACTGCCCCAAGCCTTCTTGAAGTTCTGGTATTTTATTTTATTAAGAAGATTTTGTTTTCTACCTTCAAAAAAAAAAAAAAAAGTTTTCACATTTTACTGCTTTTAACATTTCTTTTTTCCTCAGTTAAAACTTTTCTCTGGGTTGTCCATAAAGTATATTCTAGAACCCTTCCTCTTGAATGAATATGTGTGTGTATTTATGTGTATGTGTGTACACACACACACACACACACACACACAGTTTTAGGGTAAATCTTTAAAGATTTAGAGAAAAATTGAAAAGACAGAACAAAATTCCACTCCAATGGTGAGATACTTGACTTTTACCTTTTGTCCTTCATTTATTTTATGTTCCAATTCCAATATGCCTGCATAATCTTAGATTTATTTTTAAATTGTGCTAGCTTAGCAATATAGTATTATCCTTTTACTACTATTTTCAACTTAAATAGCAGAATGCTAGCTTCAAGAGTAAAAATCAAATTTTTATTTTCACACTCAATTTAAAAACATTCTTCATTCTGGACAGATTTGCTTCAGTTTATGTCAAACATTTACAAAATATAGAAAGGCAAATTTAGTGTCAGTATAACTGGTCAACATCAGTGCAAATTTTACTACCATAAAATTTGAATTTTTTTACAGTATAGACAATTCACACTATTAATAAGCATGGTCCGAAAGTAATATTAATACTTTATTTACATAATTCAAAATTAAAAAGCTATAAAATGTTTTCCATGATACTGTAGGATAAAATAAAAACTTACTACAATAAGGATATTTCTGTATTGGCAGGCATTTAGTTAAAATCATTTATTATCTTTTGAGCAATGGGAAGAAAATCTGTATTATGAAATCACTGACCAAAAGAAGTCTAAAATAGGTCTAGTGACGTGAAATAAGCCTCAGAACAAAAACTTCTATGTGAGATAGAATGCATATTACCTGATAAACTGAAAAATTCCATAAGTCTTAACAATCCTAAATTTGCATGTTCTCCCCAAAAGTTTTAAATATTTTGAGCATAATTGATAGACCTATAAGCAAACTATTTAAATCCAATGACAAAGATGGAGATTTCAACAGCACTTGTTCAACAATGCATAGAAAACTTACACAGAAATTCAGCAAATTCATAGAAGAAATGACTTTTACAAAACCATCAGCTATTTACAGAAAAATCCCACCAAGAGCAAAAAGCGCACTTCTCAAATGCACACAGAATACTTAACAATCTAGACCACAGGTAAAACAAACCTCAAAATGTTTTATTCTGGATATCATACAAAGTATGTGTTCAATAGTAATGGAGCTGGGATAATAGGTCAGTGGTATAGAACTCACATTGCCTACTTGAGGCGCTGGGTCTATTTATGGGCAACACACATATACACACAAGAAAGAGAGGCAGTTAATGTGTAATATCCCTACAATTTGGCAATAAAAGAGTATAACTGTAAATAATCGATGAATCCAAGGTACAAATAGAATTTTTAAAAATTTAGACGCGGTTGAAGATACAAGTAAAATCTATGAAGTGCTTTTATATAGTGTTGAGAGGAATGTGTGTCGCATTAACGTTTCTATTAGAATGAAAATAGTTTTAAAATAATTAACCTGAGCATTCACAGTGAAAAAAGAAAACATTAAATTTATGGCAAAATATTACAAATATGAAACTCAAATCAGTAAAACAGACAAAATAATATGAATAAAGAAAATTCAATGTAAACCTGGATTTTAAAACAACCCTCATAATTGATAAATTTCTAACCATACTGATAGAAAGGCGTGGGACAAAATTTGTCAATATCCTACATAAAAGAAAAGGCAACTTCAATGACCCTATAGATATTGATATGAAAATGATATAATACTAGAGAACTCTTGATCCCCAAATTTGGCAATTTATGTAAAACACATAAATTCCAGGAAATAGATTTTCTCTTGGTCATTTAAAATAACAAGGTAATTTGAACTGGCAACCATCCTTCCTCAGCCTCCCAATAACTAAGATTACGGGTATGTGCCACCATGTATTGCCTGTGTCTAATTTTTAAATCAATTTTTTTGAATAAATAATATGTGAAATTATATGAAGAAAATAAAAATCCTATTTGTATTGATATATATGAATAAGTACACCTTGCTAAAAGGTCCCTGTAGTATGAGTAGTTTCCTGCTTGTACTGATGGATGAATTCCTAGTAAGTGACAGGACCGCACAGCTAAGCAGCTCTTAATAGCAGGCTCTACTCACAGGTATTCAAGCAGACCACAGAAGCTCACCACCAATTTTGTTTTACAGGGTTAGGGGGTGCTGAGTATGCTGAATCCAAACGCCAAAATCTATCTCCTAACATTGCACAGAGGCTTGGTGCTTGAGTGTGTGCAGCTAGCATGTACATACCTCTTTTGTCAATGCTGTTGAAGCTAACACCTTGCCTCATTGGGAGCGCAGGAAACGCCCCTGCCACTTCCACAGCAGGGAGCTGACTCCACCTTCGCCGCCAGAACACCGAGCCAACGCCACTACCACAGCTGCCTCTAGAGCACAAGAACCTTGGGGCCAAGGCCGCCGGCGCCGCCCCCTGCTCTGGTCGCCGCCCCCCACCCCCCACCCCCAGCCGCCGCCGCCGCCGCCGCCGCCGCAGCGCAGGAACCGTTGGCACCAACGCCTCTTCGGGAGCTCAGGAACCCCCGCCACCTCCAGAGCCCCAGAGCACCGGAGCCAAGGCCGCCAGAGCACAGAAACTGTTGGGAGCCAATGCGGAGTCCTGAGCGTAGGAACCCGCTGAGGCCGCCTCACCGAGCCATCCTCGCCACCAAGAGCACAAAGTCGCCACTGCTGCCAGAACACAGGAAACGTTGGAGCCAATGCCGCTGCCGCCACCAGATCAAGAAGCCAATGCCAGCGCCATCGCTTCTGCCAGAGCACAGGAACTACTGGAGCCAACACCTTGTTGAGCCACCACGCTGCAACCCACGACGCTGCCGCTGCCGCTGCTGGAGCCAAGAGCCAATGCCGCAGCCTTGCTGCCACCATAGCAAAGGTCCGCTGGAGCCAAAGCCGCCTCCAGGACGCAGAGGCTGCCACTGTCACTGCAACCACCTTTAGAGCACAGGAGCCAAAGCCACCTGCTGTGTCCTGAGCGCCAGAGCCCCCGCCGGCATCACCAGAGAGCTGGAGACAAGGACTCTGCTATCTCTGCTTCCAGGAAGCACAGGAGCTTCAGGAAGGCAGGAGCCCCAGTCGCCGCAGCCGCTGCAGCCGCCAGACCTTAAAGCGGCTCACGACAGGATCCAAGCCGAATGAACTCTGTGCAAGGCTTTGCTGTGACCTCCATGGGGTAAGGGAGGCGTGAGGGAGGACAGCCTCTGCCGCTCCCACAGCGTGATCGCAAAAGCATTCTTGCTTTGTCTCTCAGGGTTGGAGACCCAGCAGAAATTGGAGAACAACCTGAAGAAGGTGGTAGGTACGGGGACTTAATCGCAAAGGGTGCAGGTGCCTTGGGTGGGAGAATGAAGTTTCTCTAGAGGTGTCACTTGGTGACAGGACTCGCCATGTTAGAAGGGGGCTTACCCTTTGTGGGTGTCTACCTCAGCAGGGCTGGAAGTGTGGCCTGTGAGTTTGAGGTCTGTGGGGCTAGAGGCAAGGTATACCTCTGGCATCTTTAAGTTCTGTGTAGGGGGCTGGTCTTGTGTCTCAGTGGTAGAGGGCTTGCCTAGCACGTGTGAGGCACTGGGTTCAATCCCAGCACGACATAAAAATGAAATAAAGGAATTGTGTCCACCACCTACAGCTAAAAAATAAATATATTAAAAAAAGATATATGCAGGTTCAGATGCAGCATGAGGATTATTCAGGTGGGAGGCATGCCTTGAGGTGTCTGGGTGGGAGCCTGTTTTGTGATGGAACATGTGTGTGGGTCTCAGTAATGTGATCTTAAAGGAGAGTCAAGCTCCTGGGGACAAGCAGGCCTGTTGGGGGAGAATGTTTAAAGGGGCTGCCAAAAGTGTCCCAGCCTTCAGCAAAGGAGAGAGTTTCAGTTTGGGAACATAAAGATTCCCTCCTGCACCTCCACATTCTCAGTCCTTAGAGCCATCTCCAGGAAGCTCCCTCACTGAGGGTACCAAGTCATAGTCTGGACTGCTCTCTTGTTAGGCAGGGTCTTCTCCTCTCTACCCCCACCCCACAGGAAGATGACAGGCTTCTGCTGCTCCTCTGCCTTTTCACTCTCCCTTGGGCCAGCCTGGAGCAAGTCTGGCCTCTGGATTCATAACAATCACCTCCCAGGTACCTGTAGATGTAGGGGGTGTTTATAGTTGTAGGGGCTAAGGAAAACATTTCCATACAGAAAGGAGTGAATCAATAAGTATGTGTGAATCAATAAGGCTATGAGTGAATATGTGTGAGTATGTGTGAATCAATAAGGCTATGATTGTGTGTGTATTTGTGTGGGTGTGTAAGGACATGTGGGTGGAGTATGTGAGAACATATATGCGTTTGTCTGGAGATGTCCAAGTGTATATCTAGGTATTGTGTGTATGTGAATCTGTATGTGTGATCTGTTTCTGTGAGTCTGTATTTGTATGAAATGTGAATATGTGTGAATCAATAAGGGTATGATTATGTATTTGTGTGGAGTGTGTGTGTAGCCCTTCCCTTGTCAGCCCTCCATCACTCAGCCTGGCCTACATTGCCATGTTTGCATCTTAGGAATTGTAAGCCCAAGAGTATGCATGGCTGTAGACCTTGTGGGCCAACCTGCTCCTTGTGTGTGCATGGGTGTGCTTATGTGTGTGTGCATGTGTGCATTAGGGGTTGAAGCATGTAGTGGAAGAGCACAATGAAGGAGCCCCTTTCTGTGTGGAGGCAGATAGCCCCCTAGGGCAGCCTGGAGACTGGGATCTGTTGCTGCCCTCTGTGCAGGGAGCATGAGTGTGTATGTGTCTCTGTGTGTGGATTTTCCTTTTTTGTGTTATGAATCAGATCCAGGGCTGTTTGTAATCCCGGTGTTTTCCAATAAGGAAATATGCAAGATATCTGGGATCCCTCAGAATGGCCCAGGTTTGTAAGGAAATTGCAGGCTAGTCCAAATGAGAAGGGCAGAATTGAGAAATGGCACATGGGAGAGTGTCAGCAAAATTTCTGGGAGGGCTCTGGCTCAGGTTCTGGTCCTAGATTTTCCACCAGCTTCCTCAGAACTGTGCCCTAATTTCTTTCCTTCTCTAGGATTCAATTTATCATATGCAGGATGAGTTTATCCTGATGTCCCAGTCTGGTCCTTGTCAGTGCAGCTTGGTTTAGAGAACAGGCTGTGGGTTGTGCATTGCACCTAGTGGCCAGAGTTCTGGGCCTCTGTCCAAAAGGTTTAGGGTTGGAATAAGCTTTCTGTGTGGCTATAGGCTGAGAGCTACTCATACTCAAAGAGACCTCTAGTCGCCCTGCTTGGTATGTTGGAGGGGCAGGGGCCTAACCTTGCTACATTGGACAGATCTGTTGAACTCCAGATCTGGAATCACAGTTGCAAATTTGTGGTGCTTTCAATATTCGGAATTGGTGGGGGCCCTCATTTTAGGAATAAGAGTTTCCATTTATCAGTGAATAGTATGCACCATACTCTCGAGTATACAATAGGCTTATGAGTTGGGTAGTTTGTCCCCATTTCACAGAGAGATCAACTGAGGCTCACAGGGGGCAATGACTTGCCCAAGAGCATCCCGTCAAAAAGGGGCAGATTTAGGACTTACTTCCCAGGTCTGTCTGACATCAGAGCCAAGCGCTTACCCACTGCCCCGACACCACAGATGTTTCTACCCAATCCCACACATCGCCACATCCTTGGAATGTGAGGGGAGCATAATTTGTAATGTATAGATTGGAATCCTGTGGCCCTGAGAGAGTAAGCAATGGTCCACGGACACAAACCCAGTGGAGGGAAACTGGTTCAAATTTGCAATCTTTGAGCTCTCTTTTGAGCATGGGTTCCCTAAGGGCTTGGTTAAAAAACATCTATGTCCATCAAAGCAGACCTCCTCCATTCTTTTGTTCCTTTACTTACCTCCTTGGCAAGAGACATCTATTCCAATGTCAGAGGGCCAGTTTTCAGTGGGATAGTATTGAAAGCTCTTATTCAGAAATTTGAGCACCAAATCAGGTCTTCCCTCTTCCCTCCCTCTGGGTTCAGAGGAGCTGTTTCCCTGATTGTCAGTGCCTCACCCCTTTTTTTTTTCTGAAAGGTGAGTCTTAATCAGTTTTCCTAGATAAGCTGAACAACTTCCAAGTTTGGCCTGACCCTCGGCAGCCACTAAGGGCTTGGCATAAGAGTATGAGGCTGGAAAATATGTCTAGTGCTGACCTAGAAACCCATCAGGACCCAGGACCAGTGAAGCAGGTTAAGAAGGTACTTCAGGCTCAGCCAGAGCTGTATTAAAATTCTGGAGGCTTTTTAAAATTTTTAATTTGTTCTACTTAGTTGTACAAGTAGACAGTAGAATACATTTAGATAGCAGAATGCATTTTAATTTACTGTACAAAAATGGAGTGCAACATTTCAATTCTCTGGTTGTACATGGTGTAGTGGGGTAATGATGTCCCATTTCATTCCACCATCTTTCCTATCCTCATAATCCCTTCCCACTGTCTCCTTTGCCCAATCTAAAGTTCTTTCATTCTTTGTATGGCCCCTTCTCCATCATAGATCAGCTCCATAATCAGAGAAAACACTTGGCCTTTAGTTTTTTTGGGATTGGATTACTTCACTTATCATCATACTCTCAAGCTTCGTCCATTTAACTAAAATTGCCATAATTTTATTCTCTTTTAAGGCTGAGTAATATTCCTTTGTGTAAATATACCACAGTTTCTTTATCCATTCATCTATTAATGGGCATCTAGGTCAGTTCTACAGTTTGACTATTGTGAATTCAGTGGCTATAAACATTGGTGTGGCCATATCACTATAGTATGCTGATTTTAAGTCCTTTGGGTATAGACCAAAGAGTGGGATAGCTGGGTCAAATGGTGATTCCATTCCAAGTTTTCTGAGGAATCTCCATCCTGCTTTTCAAAGAGGTTGCACTAGTTTGCAGCCACCAACAATGTATGAGTGTACCTTTTCCCCACATCCTATCTGATACTTATTATTTCTTGTATTTTTCATAACTTCCATTCTGACCGGGTTGAAATGAAATTTTAGAGTAGTTTTGATTTAAATTTCTCTAACCACTAAAGATGTTGATTGCTTGTATATCAATACAAATACAAATAATCAATTTGTTGATTGCTTGTATATCTTCTGAGAAATTTCTGTTCAGTTGCTTAGCCCATTTAATGTTTGGATTGTTTTTTTGTTTGTTTGTTTGATTTTAAGTTTTTTGAGTTCTCTAAATATACTGGAAATTAGTGCTCTATCTGATGTATGTGTGGTAAAATTACACTCCCATACTGTAGGCTCTCTCTTTACCTTGATGATTATCTCTTTTGCTGAGAAGATTGTTTTAGTTTGAATCCATCCCATTTAGTGATTCTTGCTTTTGTTTCTTGTGCTTTAGGACTCTTGTTAAGGAAGTTGGATCCTAATCTGACATGATGAAATTTGGGCCTACTTTTTCTTATATTAGGTATATCTGGTCTAATTCCTAGATCCTTGAACCACTTTGAGTTTTGTGTGTATTGAGAAATAGAGGTTTAATTTGAACTTGCTACACATGAATTTCCAGTTTTCCCAGCACTGTTTGTTGAAGAGGTTATATATGTTTTTGTTGCCTTTGTCTAGTTTGAGATAACTGTATTTATGTGGGTTGATTTCTGTGTCTCTATTCTGTACCATTGGTCTACATGTCTATTTTGGTGCCAATATCATGGTATTTTTGTTACTATTGCTCTATAGTATAGCTTAAGGTCTGGTATTGTGATGCCTCCTGCTTCACTTTTCTTGCTAAGGATTCCTTTGGCTATTCTGGGTCTGTTATTTTGAAGTGAACTGTCATATGAGTTCAGGTGTTGAATTTTCTACCCGTGGCATCAAGTTGACATCAAAAGGTTTGAGATTTTGGATTTGTGGATTAGGGATGCTTAATCTGCAATGGTAAAATTGGAAAGTCTGCTGTCATCTGACGCTAATGTAACCCATGCCCACTATGCTCCTTCTAGCTGTCATATGTGCCCATCCTCTTCTTTTTTTAATTTTTATTGTTGGTTGTTCAAAACATTACATAGTTCTTGATATATCATATTTCACACTTTGATTCAAGTAGGTTATGAACTCCCATTTTTACCCCGTATACAGATTGCAGAATCACATCAGTTACACATCCACTGATTTACATATTGCCATACTAGTGTCTGTTGTATTCTGCTGCCTTTCCTATCTTCTATTATCCCCCCTCCCCTCCCCTCCCCTCTTCTCTCTCTACCCCCTCTACTGTCATTCATTTCTCCCCCTTGTATTATTTTTCCGTTTCCCC